GCCTCCTACACGTCCACACACACACCCCACACCTGCCTCCTACACGTCCACACACACACACCCCACACCAGCCTCCTACACGTCCACACACACACACCTGCCTCCTACACGGCCACACACACACCCCCCAAAGCGGGTTCCTACACGTCCACACAGACATGGAGCCGCTGCTTCTGCCTCCCTCTCCCAGTCCTGTGTCTGCAGCAGGCTAGCAATGCAGTCCCTTACACGAGGTTGAGACACTGCAGAGAGCTGGGGTTTTAACCCGAGGATGGGCCGCTGCTCTGGCTGGCGGACTGGCCGCTCTGCCTCGGTCTTAGTAAGATGAGTTACAGAAGCCCTGATCCCCAACCGCCCGCTCCTCCTACTCACCAGATCTGGCCCACATTGACCAGGGACATGTAGAGGCCCCAGAGGGCCACCATGAGAAGCATGTTGGCGCAGCCCGTGATCAGCACGAAGGCCGAGACGCCCAGTCCCAGGAGAGCGAGCAAGTCCAGGTTGGAGTTCATGTCTGACCAGTCCATCAGCCATAGGACGGTGGGCGCATAGCTGAGGGCGTCCCAGCCCACCCTGCCCCGGAAGTACTGCTGGACGCTCCTCAGGTACGCGCTGCAGGGGAGCAGGCCCCTGTCTCCGATCAGCTGCTTGTTCTGATGGAAAGCCACCAGGAACGCCACAACTGGAAGAAAAAGAAGACAAAATGAGCATGACTATGAACAAAACATGTGGACCCCGTGGGCGCTGCTCGGACGTGCAGGGTGGGGCGGGGCGAGAAGGGGAGGCGCCGTCTGGCCAACGATTTGGGGCTCAAACCTCAGACTCAGGAGTCTGAGTACTTTCTCAAAATCTTGGGGGAAATATTGGAAAAGCCAACCTGCAGAAGACACAGTGTGTGTGTATACGCAAACACACGTGAGTAAACTAGACACGCTCATATGAAATCCATGCCTGCTGCACGCAGACAGGTGGCTGACCACCCGCCCTGCAGGCAGCATTCCCCACAGTGAAACGCACCCCGGTGACCCTGGCTACGGTCGGCGGGTCTCTCCCAGCACACGCCACAGGCTTGGTGCCTACTGCCTGCAGGTAAGCCACACGCACCCTCCACGAAAACCACAGGCCTCTGAGTTCATGTCCAACAATGCCCACCCCCACAACGGCACCTTCAACCTCAGTGTCTGCGGAATGCTCAGTGTTCGCCCAGAGATGCCGACGGGGAGAGCACCACGTGCCCGTGTGTAAAGGTGAAAAACGAAAAAGTAGGCTAAAAGTAAAAAACATACACCACCGAAGTGTGAGCCACAACCTGATCTAGTTCATTGTGGCTACAAAACACTTAACAACAAATAAAAGAAAGCTGGAGTGGCTCTGTTCACAACACGGAAAGTAGATCTGGCCAGGCGTGGTGGCTCACACCTGTAATCCCAGCACTTTGGGAGGCCAAGGCAGGCGGATTACCTGAGGTCAAAGAGTTTGAGAGCAGCCTGGCCAACAAGGTGAAACCCCGTTTCTACTAAAAATACAAAAATTAGCTGAGCGTGGTGGCCCACGCCTGTAGTCCTAGCTACTTTGCAGGCTGAGGCAGGAGAATCACTTGAAACCAGGAGGCAGAGGTTGCAGTAAGCCGAGATTGTGCTACTGCACTCCAATCTGGGCAACAGAGTGAGACTGCATTTCAAAAAAAAAAAAAAAGTATTTTTAAGGACAAGGAATCACACAGGGATAAAGGAAGATACTGCGTAATGATAAAAAAAAATCACAAGAGCAAGCCCAAAGTACATGTGGCCTCCTACTGCGCGCAGGAAGCTGGTTTGGGGTCCGTGTCTGTGTAGATGCGCGTGCTGGTTTGGGGTGAGTGTCTGCATAGACACGTAGGAAGCTGGTACTTGTACTTCTCCCCATGCATTTATAAATCTAAAAAATGTAAACAGAATCTGCACAAGGAAAACTACAAACCACTGATCAAAAGAAGCCAAAACAAGATCTAAACATTTGAAGAGACAGACCATCTTCATGGATTGGAGGAATCAAAATCATTGTCAATTTTATTCATAAATTCAGCACAATCTGAACCAAAACACCCAGTAAGTGCTTCTGCAGATGCTGATAAGCTGATTCTAGAAGGTACACGGGAGGGCAAAGGCACTAAAACAGCCAGAATCATCTGGAAAAGAACAGAGGCGAGGACTCACGTTACCCAGATTTAAGACTCATTAAAAGGCTAATGGAGACCACATGAATACAGCATAGTGTTGGTTAAAGAAGAGCCACAGGACTCAGTGGAATGGAAGAGAGGGCCCAGACATAGACCCCCCCAGCTCCCAACCTAACACACAGAGTGAACACATGCTGACAAAGGTTCAAAGACGGCTCCACAGAGAATGAACAGTCTCAGGCCGGGAGCGGTGGCTCATGCCTGTCAGCCCAGCACTTTGGGAGGCTGAGGCAGGAGGACTGCTTGAGCCCAGGAGTTCCACAGCAGCCCAGGCAACAGAGTGAGACCCAGTCTCTACAAAATAAATAAAACACAAACGAAAAGTCTCTGACAATGATGCGGGAACAAATGGATGTCCACATGGAAAAAGATGGGCCTGCACACACTTCACAGCTTACACAAGCTGACTGACGAAAGGTCACAGACCTAAACGTAAGACACAAGAGCATGAGGCTTCCAGACGGAAGCGCAGGAGAAACTCCGTGGCGGGCCTGGCAGCCAGTCCTCAGAGGCCACACCAGAGGCATCATCTGGGAAAGAAAAAACTGTCAACTGAACTTATCAAAATGAAGAACTTCTGATCTGCAAAAGCTGCTTTTAACAGAATGAAGCAACAAGCCACAGATGGGAAGAAAGTACTGGCAAATCCCACCTCTGATAAAGTGTTTGTATCTAGAACATTCAAAGAGCTCTTAACCGCGATCGTTAGAAGACAGACAGCCCAGTGTTAAGGGTGGGAAGAAAAGACACAGGCCATAGACCTCAACAGACACGGGAGCAGTCTGCCTCTCACAGGGCAAGGGCTCCAGACGGCAGATAACGCGTAAAAAGTCGCTCAGTGTCATTCGTCACGGGGAAACGCCAGCTAAAACCACCATGTGACGTCACCACACATGTGTCCCTGTGGCCAGAGTGATTAAAAACGGACAGCGCCCCACGCTCTGGAAGGTTCTGGACAGCGCGAGTGCCCTCGCTGTGCTGCGGATGCCTGCGGCGTGCCGCTGTGGACAGCAGACGGGTGACGTCTTACCCAGGGAATGAAGGGTGGCCTTACAGCCCAGCCACTGAGCCTCTCAGGGGCTCCACCTGGAAACGCGTTCACACAGAAGCCTCGTGCAGATGCTCACAGCAGCTCTGCTCGTCATCACTAAAACCCAGAAAAGAGGAAGACGTCCTTCAAAGTGGACGTGGATAAATAACCGGAGGAGCACTGGGGCAACAGAGCAATATTCACAGGTAAGAATGCAGGAGCTGCTGGTTCAGGCAACAGCCTGGATGGGTGCAAGTGCATGCTGCTAAGTAAAAGAATCTAGACCCAACAGGCTACGTGTTGTGTGAGGCCATTCGTATGTCACACTGGAAAAGACAAAACCGGAGGGATGGAAGACAGGCCCGGGCATGCCAAGGGCTGCTGGGGGTAGGGGTCACCCCCATGCACGGCGGACTTGGGGGCTGGAGCTGGGGGATAGAGCTCTCGATGCACTTGGCAAGCCCACGGCACTGAGCATTACGCAGGATCAACTTTAACGCACACCAAGTATTGGGGAAAGACCCAAGCAACAGGTCGGGGGATGCAGATGGAGTGCAGGCTCCACACGCACGAAGGTGAATCAGACCACACCGACCAGAGGGCAGGAGCCGCCTGAGCAACTCCAGAACGGGTCTGAGTGAAGACCACAAGCACACAGGAGCTGTGTGCAAACGCTGCACGCCAGCGCTCTTCCCGGGGCCTGGGCGGACAGTTTGTGCATGTGCACCAGGGCTGAGCAAACGCTAGAGGAGCAGGGGAGCCAGGTTCTCACTAGCAGAGAGGGAGGATTCAGATGAGCCAGGAGGGAAGGCTGCATACGCTGCATGCCGGGTGGACGTCAGAGACAGAGGCATGGACCAGGTTCACCGTCATAGACTTACAGACAGTGGGTACGACAGAGAAACAACCACGTCTGTGAAATGAGGCAATGACACACAGAGCCCAGCTCTGCCCGGCAAGAGGGCCGGCCGCCGTGACTCCCCAGTAGCAACGGCCCTCGCAGAGCCCAGATCGGAGTTTCTACGCTCCCCTAAAAAGAGCTAGGGTTCCCTGGAGAAACAGCTGATTCTAGGGCCGGGCAGAGAAACAGAATCTGGGCCAGCAGCATCTGGAAAGCTGGAAGGGCTCAAAAGAGGCACGCGAAAGATGCACGAAGACATGGAGAGACACCCATGGCCAAAGCTAGAAACTGAGCAGCAAACTCACAGTGACAACACCGGATCACAACCCGGACACCACCCAGACACAGACTCACAGTGACAACACCGGATCACAACCCGGACACCACCCGGACACAGACTCACAGTGACGACACCGGATCACAACCCGGACACCACCCGGACACGGACTCACAGTGACGACACCGGATCACAACCCGGACACAACCCGGACACGGACTCACAGTGAAGACACAGGATCACAACCCGGACACGGACTCACAGTGATAACACCGGATCACAACCCTGACACAACTCACAGTGATGGCGCTGTATTACCAACCAGAGTGAAAATAAATGGGCATGGGTCCATAGTGTCAAAACAAATGACCACAAACAAGTAACAAGAGCTCCTTCTCAGAGGGATTCTACATAACGTCCGCAGACAGTCCCTCTGGAAGGCAGGGCCTGGACTCAGTGACTGGCTTCCAGAGAACAGAGTGAGCAGGAAACCAGGGACTTCACAGAGGGGACACCTGGCAGACACACCTTGGCCAGGTGATCAGAAAGCCATGCGGACGTCAGGACTCTGATACAGTGTGACGGGAAGGGCCCTGCACCTCTATTGGCCTCTTCCAAAACCCATCACCCAGTGTAATCATGAGAAACAGCAGACAGACCCCATGTGAAGGACACTCTACAGGCTCCATGGCAGGCCTGCACGTAGGAAAGTCTGGGAGGCTGTTACAGACCAGGGAGGACAGAGGGGACGCCAGGACAGAGCTGGGTCCCACCACAGGAGGGGCATGGATGGGAAAGCCACCGAGCACAGTTTGGTGAACAGTAAAAAATGTTACAAAGTAAAGGATCCTTGAAGACCCTCTGCACAGTCAGTGCACGGCATGAAGAGCTGGGAGCAGCTTCCCTGCAAAGCCGCGGGGCAGGGCCACAGGCAGAGCACGGCAGGGCACTGGGTGACAAAGGGGCCAGGCTGGTGACCCCTAAAGGGGTTGGGGATGGCAGATCAGTGGGGGGCAGCTCGAAGTGAGGAGGAAGAGGGTGGTCACGGGGAGGGACACAGGGTGGACACAGGGCAGACACAGGGCGGGACATGGGGAGGGACGTAGGGTGGAGAAAGGGCAGACACAGGTCAGACACAGGGTGGGACACAGAGTGGACATGGGGTGGGACATGGGGCACAATGCAGGGTGGACATGGGACAAGACACGGGGCTGCAGCAGAAGGCTCCCCACGCCCCTCCTGCCTCCACCACCAGC